ATGTAAAAGAAGAACAACGGTGTCTATATTGTTAAGAATAACTTAGCTATATGGTGGATGTGGGTCTCGCGTGAGCTGTGGATGAACAGGATTTCCACACCCATCTGTTACTAAAGGTATTTTTAAAAATAGAACACAAAAAAGTGGTCAGTTTTATTTTTCTAAATACAACTGAAAACACATAATCAAAAAGTTATTCTCGTATATTTTTGACGACCACCATCTAGTCCTCAAAGACAAAAAAATCGCCTTTTTCCGATTCATTTTTTCATCGTTTGGGGTGCTGTGTTAATACATCACAAGATGCAGCGTGAAAAGCTCTACAATATTCATTAATTGATGACATAAGAAAAAGATGTCATCGTGTACGAAAAAGTTAATTTTTTTTTTCGGAGTGTCAAAAATTAGTAGCTCAAAATTTTGTCCATTTTGAAAACAAAAAGTGCAATTATCAAATAAGCTGTCCTTCATGAATTGTAGAGCTTTCCACACTGCATTCTCTGATTTGTTTTTTTTTAATACAGCGTAGTAGGGGATGAAAAAATGAATCGGACAAAGAAGCTTTTTTTGTCCAAGGGAAAGTATCACGAAAATGAGACATTTTGGTATATGTCGAACAAATCTGAGACAATAAGCCAGTAAAATGGACTGCATATAAACATGAGTAGTTTAACTTATGCTCTACTTATGGATATGTAAATGAAGATATGATAATAATGGATGAATGAGAACAAGCTAATAGCAAAAAGGCGATTCTTTTGTCTTTGGCAGAGTATCCATATTCTTTTCAGGACAAATTCGGCATTTACCATTCATATCTTGAAGAAAGAGAAAACCCTTAATGAACCAGAAAGAGACACATTGAGTAAAAAATAACTAATGACTGATATAAGAAAGCACTTAGTTCAATGTACTGGTGAAAAAAATTGCTCAGAAAAATTCTGGATAAAAAAATGTGTCTTATTTACACTCAAAAATTAAAATTTTTCAGATACAATGGGCATTTTTTGATTGAAATACCTTTTTAACCACTTTTCTGCATAAATGTAACGTAATTTGACAGAAAAACAAATAAAAAAGAAAGTGGAAAAAAATAGAAAAATAGAAAAAAATCAACAAAAACATGCGTTTTTTGACATAACCGAAAAAGACGCATAAAAATCGAGTAAAATTCACTATTTTTGTTCAAAAAACGTCAAAAATCGATATGTTTGTCTGCTTGGGTTGTTCCTGCTAGCACTCCATATCCCGATTTTCTGAATTACACTTGAACCCAATAGAATCTGAAATAATTTTAAGAAAACAATTATAAGCTGAATCTGTACTCTTCTTTAGAAAAGAAAGATGAACCGAACCGAACTCGAACCGGGCTTTATCGGTTCGATTTGATCTTTTCTATCAATACATCCTCTACAATTTTGTATTAGATATTACCATAAACTCATAATAGATGTAAGTAATTATTGATTATGGCCTATGTAGGAACCCTTTTATTTCAAACAGGAATTGTTTTTCAAGTAAAGTTTTATTCAAGTTCAAAGGTGCATCCACTCCTCTTCAACTGAATATCTAGAGTTATATAACATGCTAGAAAGACAATGAAAAGTTCAAAGTAATTGGTATGCTTTCCTTGTTGTCGGTGGAAGAGCGGCGCCCTTTCTAGCCACCTCATAGATACGCCATTACCTTCTAATTTTTTGGGTACGTTTGAGAATAAGTGAGGTATTTAAAATCAGCGCACTTGTTACTATTGAACCATAAAGACTTGCAATAGAACAGTAAAAGCTCTTTTTTAATGCTTTAGGGAGATTCCAGGTGTGGAAAATTGGGTTTTGATAAAATAGAAAATAAAATTATGAAAAATAGGCAGGATTCAATGCTGTTTCTGAAAGTAACAAAATTAGGTTACGCTTTTCGAGGCCTTCAGTCCCTAGTTCAAGACAACTTTTAACGTATTGGAATGTTATTAATATGTGATAATGAACTTATATATCAATAATCATCAACTACATGCTTCACTTTATCTTATTTTACTTTTTTCGATAAAGTAAAAGATACTTTACTTTATTTTACTTTTCGAGTAAAGTAACTCTACTTTAGTTTATCGAGTAAAGTAAAGTAGGCTAACTTTACTCAGTAAAGTCAAATGCTTTAGTTCACTTTACTTTATTAAAGTAAAATAAAATTAAAGTGTCACCCCTACTCAGATTCTTTAAATTCTGGAACACTGCATCCTTTCAGTAGAGGGTTGGCGATGTTTGCGTCGCGTTAATTTGTAATTCTTTTTTTTATATACCAGATATTTACAGAAAATTTTTCAATGAGTTGCCGAGCTGATTCAGGGTCAATGTTGATATTTGCATAAATTTTATTATCAGGAAATTCTTTAGCTTCAAGTTGAAAATCAATACGAAAAGTTTTCCATAGTTCTGCATCTTCCTATATTTAAAATAGAAAAATAATTATCAATAAAAAATATTTTATCATATCTCACAATTTCATGCAATTTGTCAGAAGATGCACTATAAAAGAAAAACAAGATTTTTTTATGAACAGTACATTTATAATAAAGATAGTTCATACGGTGTTTGTATTGTAGTACTCATTATTGAATTCTTAAATTTAGATAGAGTTTATAAATTTGATAAACAAGACAAAAAATATTTTAACATACGCTTAATAATAGATATTTTTTTCCATCTTTTCTTAGCCAATCGAAATGAGCTTTTATTTTTTTTAAATTCTTTTTCCGTAAGAAAACATTTCTATGATGAATAAATGTTACCATGAATACAAAAAAGGAAGAATTTTTTTTTTCTTCTGTTTCTTTAGTTACAAACATTATGTCTAATGTCTCTTACAAATAAATTTGAAGGTGAAAGTTTCAAGAAAGATAAAGCAACTTGCACAAGATTATATTAAAATTTGGTTCAATAAGTAGTTCTTCGAAATTCGCTTGTATAAAAAAAAATGAGTAGATTTCTTTCATTTACCGATCATCAAGTATAAATGAATTAGTTTTTTTTTGTTTTTGTTTAATAAAAAAAATCAAATTTTATTTATCTTTATTAGTTAAGAGAAGAACTTCCTCCAGAAGATACTATTGACGAATTGAATATTCGTTATCGAATTTGTCATAAATATACTCCAAAACGGGACAAGTATTGATTTTAATAAATATTTCAATAATACATACGTTTCATTTTAGGAATAATGAAAATGATATATGTATATGTGAACGACGAAAAGAAGAACATGAAGATTACGAAGAATCAAAGAATCGTTGGACTATGAATTATAATACTCGAGAAGTAATTAATTCTGACTTGGGTACACTTTTACATGGTGGATTGGTAAAAACAAAAAAAGAAAATTTATTTATTTTCTAATAGTTTAATTTAATTGATTTAGTATGTTCGATTAGCTTTGGATACACCTTTAGAAAAAGTTGAAAAAATTCTTCTTGATGCTTGGAAAATTCGTAAACCTTTATTTATTGTAACAATTATTGGTGGTGCAAAATATTTCAAAATGAATGATAAACTTGAAACATATTTTATAAATGGTATTGTTGATATAATTAATAAATCTGGTATGTAATGAAATAATTCTATCATTATGATAAATAATTATTCTCTTTTTTTTTTTTTAAGATGCATGGTTATTCTCATCTGGATATAATATTGGTATTGTTCAACTTGCAGGACGTGCAATTCAAAAATTTAAATTAACACATTTCAAAAAAAATAATTTTACTGCTATTGCTGTTTGTAAATGGGGTAGTATAAAAAATGTAAAAATGATAACAAGTCGAGATGATAAAAAAACAAAACAGGTTTAACTTAAAAAAAAAAAGAAAAAGAAGAAATCTTTAATATAATAAATACTTATTATGAACTTTATAGATAACTACCAATGCATCGAGTAGTAATAAAAATGATAAATCTGAAGAACGTCAACATGGTCAATGGGATCTTGAAATGAATCACAGTCATTATCTCATGTTAGATGATGGCAGTATTCTTAACTATGAAATAGGAGATTATCGAACACGTCTAGTTACTCATATGGCAAAACTGAAAAATGAACATGAGTTTTTCGGTATGTACTTTTTTCTTTTGTGAAATTTTACAAAAAATTTATAATTCTTTATTTAATTAGATAGCTTTTTTAATTTATATTTAAAAGAAAAGACTAAGAAGCTTTAATTCTTAAAGAAAAAAAAAATTCCAAAAAGTAGACTTTGAAAAATTTTGTATCTGATCGTACTGTAAAAATTTAAAGTATTCTTATGGAAGTAGAATTTAATGATAATAAGTCTAATGACAGTTGAAATTATGAAATGATCTGATACTTTCATTTTACTGATTATCAATATATTACAACAAAAGAAATGAGTTCATATAACGGAGAATTCGATTTTTTGGGAAAATCATCTCTATTTGTAATGAAGTAAAATTGTACCGCTATATTTTATTACATCTTTAGAGATTAAGAAATAAAGCAATATACTATGCATACTGAAGCATTCATTAGTCAGAAACTCTTCGGCCAATGTAATTCACCTTGTATTTCTGCGTTGTAGCGTGGAGATACGTAGCACTGTCCGAAGAGCCACGCTTCACGTTCATCTCTGTGTACATGGTTTTGTCTATCTACAACCTTTGCTCAACGTAAATTGAACACATCTTAAGAGCTACTCCCCCTGAGAAAATTCAATTTTTCGAAGACACGTTGAGTTAGAGGTTTTATCATAGGAAGATGTACCGAATATTTATGGTTTATCGCAAAATGAATTGATTTTGATGAACTTATCGTCTAAAACTTGGCTCCTACTACTATCAGAGTTTTCGATAAATTTTCACGGTATTTTTAGGCTGCTTTCTTTTTGTAAAGTTTTCTTTTATATTAATCACTATGAGATTATTAAAACTTAATATTAAGATCAGATATTTATAGTCTATCCTGAACATTGATATGTAATTCAGGTGTGTTTTGCAAAAATAGCCTTTTTCTCAAAATCAGTGTTTTGTGTACTCAAAAAGTGAGTACACACTAGAATCGGTCAGTGTGTCCAGCTGGCCGGCCGTTTACACGATAACTTTTGAAAGGAGAGTCCGATCGCGATGAAATTTTTTACACAGTTTAGTCTCAACAATATCTCGGTCGAATTCGAAGATGAGAAGAATTGGTCGAGCCGTTCCTGAGTTATTGCAAAAATACTCGTTTTTCCCTATGGCTTTCTATAGGAAAATCGACCTATTCCCACTTTCGTAAAACACTTTCCCTATCATAGTCAAAGAAAACCCCAACTATTATATACCATTCGATAGAGAATTTCACGAGCTACAAAATTGTATATAAAACATAAAAAACAACAAGGCTAGCTCACCTATTGCAAAGATAAATAAACGGAAATCGGTTCTGTTTTTGTCTGCGCTCTAATTGATCCACAAGTAGAGCTCTATCTTCCGATCACAGAGATAATAGTTCAAGGTTTTCTGGGATGGAGAACTCGAATCTGTAATTCACTTGACTTGAAGCCTCATTGGTTGAGCACTGACCAATAGAAATCAAATTATAGGAAAAACGAGTTTTTTAGGATAACTCAAGGCGAAGAGTCCAAATCTGAGCTGCATTCACTCCGAAATTCTATTGGTTGAGCAGTAGTCAATAAAATTCAAGTGTTTATAGAAAAGATTTGTCAGGTTAATTTTTATATCCACACATTCTAGGATGATCGATTTGTCTCATTCACTTTTTGAAGTACACATAACTCTCGGATTTAAATCTGAGGTTTCCACATTTATTTTGACAATGAATTCGAGAACTTCTCGGAGAGGATTTTTTTATAGAACAAATAATGGAAATTTCAAAAATCGGGCTCTATTAGGATCTAGTGCCAAGCGTACTCTACAACTTAAAATAGTCTCGCTATGTTAACTCGTGTCCTCATTGTGAAAACGTTGGCTACGTATAGGATACTTTTGACTCAATAAATAGATTTTAACTCGCAGATTTGAGAAGATATTTTAACCAGCCTGTTTCTATGCAAAGTTTCAAGTCAAAACTTGAAACTCAGTTTTTCTGGTTCCTGAGGCGGGCCACGGCATTGTGCTTAATTAAAAAAACCACAAAAATGCAGTATCCCGATAATAATAAACTAACGACCCGAACTCTTTTCAGGGTAATCATAGCTCATTAAGACCTACATGATGCATATAGTTCCGACTTAAAAGCGATTGAACAGTTGGTGACCTTCTCTCGTGAGTTAAATAATTCTGTGATGAAAGTACTATTGACCGAATGTGATTATAATAACGGGTTCTAATGTTTGATATTGATCAAACTGTGCATTTCAAGTTCAATGAAGAATTATAAGAAGTTAACATAACAGTTAAAGAATAACAATTCAACCAAAAAAATACAATAAAAATAGAAGAACAAACAATTCTCAAGCATATAACAACAAAACAGAGAGACACAGAGCAAGTAATACACGAGAAAAAAAGTCATATCAGAATGTACAAATGAAGGAGACAAAATCGTTTTTTTGTCTAAATACCAATGAGTATTGAAGAATAATTCATATTGATTGAAATCTCATCATATTTTCTATCCATATAATTTAGTTGAACAATAAATATGAATTAAATATTTTATGTGATTAAGAGGTAACTACACTTACAGGGGATATTTGAAAGATTTCACTGTCAAAAAAAAAAATTGCTACTATGGATACGATATTGATGATTTACTTCTAATATCTAGTACCTGTAGTTACAATTGCGGTTGAAGGTGGTCGAGATACTGTAAACAATATATATTATGATTTAAGAGCAAAGATTCCTGTTATTATAGTTGATGTAAGAACAATTGAATTCAATATTTATGTTCATTAAATAATTACTTAATATCTAGGGTACCGGTCGTGCTGCTGATTTTTTTACTCGTTGGTTATTTTTGACAAAAGATTTCGAAAATGATGTTAAAAATAAAGAAACCATTTGTGAAATTGAAGAATTAGTTATTGAAGACAACAGTTTATCATGTTCGATCTCGCAAGATACAAATTTAGATCAAAAGAAAAATTCCCAAAAAACTAAAGTCAGGTAAATTTATTTTTTCACATTTATTTTTTTATTTTTCTTACAATTTTCTATGTATTTTATTGTCAAAACTCATAGTGAAAGACATATTAATACAGAGAATAAAAGGTAAATATAGAAAAATAATTATTTAACTTTAGTTTATTTATATAATTTTTCTTTGTTTTTAAAGACTTTCAGAGATGTTTCAACCTAATAAATATAGTGAACGATTAAAGAAAGATGTAGAAAATACTTTTTTTCGAAAAGATAATTCAGAAGAAGAATCTCAAAAAATAAAACAAAAACATAACGAAAATGACAAAAACAAACAAATTAATGAATTAATAAATCGAATTATGTATTGTCTACAACCAGCTATTCGTACTCATTTAACTGTATTTTCTTTAAATTCGGATGCTAATTTAACAGAGACAATTTTTCGAAGTATTTGTCGTTGTAAGTAAATAAATTTCGAATAGATTTGTTTTTATCTTCGATTTCAAAATGTTTTTTTTTGTTTTTCTTAGCACATCAAACAATAGCAAAAATGAAACTTTATTCAAGCAATATTCACGTTGAAACTAAACAACCAGATATACCAAATGATGAAAGAAATATTATGTATGAGACAAGAGATTATGATATTCGTAAAAAACAACAAAAAATAGAACGAACAAGACTACTTAAATTAGCAATGAATTGGGATTGTATTGATATTGCAAAAGAATTTATTTTTCAAAATTCATTAGATAATATATTGGTATTTATATTTATATTTTTATGTTAATATCCATATATATTATTTATTTGTATTTTTAGAATAAAAAACGATATTTTGTAGATGCTTTAAGAAACAATTTACCGACATTTGTCTATGAATTTCTTAAATTAGGCATTGATCCAGCTGCTGACATATTCTTTTCAAAAAGTGAAGTATCAAAAAAAAGATCTTGTTATGCCTATTTTATTGAAACACTTTATCATCCTAATATAATGGTATGAAATTTATTTAGCAAAAAAAAAAAAAAAATTTTTTTTTTATTTTTGATAATTTGCTTTTCTTAGAATAATGCTAAAACTCATTTAAAAGATTTTATTGACTCTGATAAATCTACAAATAATAAATTCATTAGTGATATTGAAAAACTTAATGCAGTTCTTACTAAACTTATTGGTGATTATATGCGTGATCTTTATTTTGAAACAGAACAAACTGAATATACAGATCGAATAAAATGGGGATTGACACAAAATTTTTCTAAATCAGATCAATATAATAATAAAGATACTGAAAATAATCAATTTATATCAATTATATCGAAACAACAAAAAAATTATGATTATATTATGCGTGATTTATTTTTATGGGCTATATTAATGAATTATATTGATATGGCTAAAATTTTTCTATGTTATATGAAATATCGTATATGTCCAGCATTAATTGCAACAAAAATTTTAAAACAATATCATTCAATAGCTGATTATGGTGATTTAAAAGATCGTTATATGGAAAATGCAAAATATTTTGAAAAATATGCTATTGATTGTTTAAATAAATGTGCTGAATATGATGCATCTCAAGCATGTGCAATTATTTTACAACAAAATGAACTTTATGGATATGTTACTTGTCTTCAAGTATGTTTAATAATTTTGTTCTAAATAATTAGAAAAAAATATTCTAATATCTATCAAAAGATTGCAGCTGATGCTCCTGATGAATTATTTATTGCAACACCATGTTGTGTAGAAGCTATAAATAATATATGGTATGATAAACTTCGTCCAGAGCAAACAAGTTTACGTCATCAATGCTATTTACTTTGTGCTATTATTTCATTTGGTCTTTTGGCTCCTCTTTTACTTGACTATCGAGAAAAAAATAAGGTTAGAATTAATCTTAAATGAATTTTTCATAATGAATGATATTTAAAATATATTCGATAGTATGAGAATACTTACATAATTGGTTTTTTTTTTTTTTTACATAAAACAACATAAATAGAGCTAGTTTTTCATATGTATTAGTTTTAAGATACTATATTTTCATAAGTTTCGATACAGTTAAATATAAGAAAATTTTAATCCCTTGAGAATGGAATTACGGTTGAAAAAACTAAAATTTTTTTGAAACTCTATGTCAATGTATGTAAATATATATATGAATCAGAGATGTTCATGTCAGCAGATTTATTTCAAAAATGATCGCAGTACGGCAGCGTTGCGGTGGTGGCAGTTTTTTTTTACGAAGAATTTTCACAGAATCTTGACGTTCATGTATGGTATAGTGTAAGACTGATCGATTAGTAGTAGCAGTTCTAGTTGAGATCGATCACAACCTTGAAAATCAAAAGATTTTTATAAATACCATCGCGACAGCGGCAGATTCTCAGTCGCGATGGACATCTGTGATATGAACGATGAATATAATAAGTATTTATTAGAAGATACAAAACTCTTAAGAAAATGGCAAAGAGACTAAGAAACTTAGTGTAGTGTTTAGAAATCCAAAACTGAGACGGTCGATTTGAAGATAAATTTCATGATTTGTTTCGAATCTTGGATAAAATTCATTGAATTTTCTAAACTTTTATAGTTGATCTGCATTGGTATTATTGTTTCTAAGAAGAACGTTTAGCATTCATGGTAGAAATTTTTTGTACTTCATCCATTAAAGCAACTTTTAAAATTTCACACATTATGTTTTTTTTCATATGTCTTATACAGGGCTGCCAAATCAAAATTTCAAAAACCAGGGGTTTTTTGAGAAAAATCAGGAGTTTACCAGAAGATTTTTACTCAAAAATCAGGAGATGTTTACTGAAATCAGAAAATGAGTTAGTGGTCTTCTCTCAAAGAAAACTGAAGTTCTCGTTCATCTAATCACTTGTTATGTTCTTCTACTAAGTTACTGATGACAAAATTTCCTTTAAGTGATATATATTACAAAAAAAGATAGTTCTGTGGAATTTATTTTACTACTCGTTTCACAGTGGTTCATCAAAATATACCGACAAAATAGAAAGTGAAGTTTAATTAGACGTTAATATATAACTAAACAAAATGAGCATACATGAACAATAATTTATCAACTATACCGTTCATGTCATTTTTGTAACATGACCATAAACGGAAGGGTCACAAGGCTTGAGTATGCTCGAGCCTACTCTAGATTGAACAGCTAAAGGCTTAGGTAGGTTCGCGGATGGAATAAATGAAGACTTAGATACGATCTATTCATAGACGATGGAATCACATGACTTCAGTAGACTAAAGTCCATCTTAGGTTCAGATTCCATAGACTATGGTACCCTCAAATAATTGTTTTCTACTACGTCAAATTGATAGGTTTGTGCAGTACATAAAAACTTTTGTATGGACGTCAAGATTTTTTGCCACTATCGGCAATAAATAGTAACATTTATTGAAACAGACCTAGAAACTATTTTTGAGAAAACTTTTAGTTTTGTGTGGCTAAATGTCCAATCTTGGGTCAGCCATGATTTAAAGTGGGGTTCTTTCGTTAAAAGTGACGAAGTACTGCATAAAAAATCTGAATCATATCAGCTAGTAGCTGCCAAAGACTTTCATCATTTTTAGCGACTAAGTTTACATTACCCGATCATTAATGTTATGAGAGCAACTTTTCTCGATTATTCTTTCTGTTCTCAGAAAAAATTTGCTGTTCTCGCCCATATATTCTCTTTCTCGGAAAAAAATTGTTATCTTGTTCTTACACTGTCTTTCTCGGAAAAAAATTGTTATTCTTGTTCTTACACTGTCTTTCTCGGAAAAAAATTGTTATCCTTGTTCTTACACTCTTATTCCCAGAAAAAAATTTATTTTCACTTCCGTAAGCAGAAGCGTAAACCAGTTCATAGATCGGTGGTGTGTAAGTGTGGTTTTTTTTTATTCCGCTAGCGACTAAAAATACTCAACTTTTTTAGTCTGTCGGCGAAGGCGAATGAATTTGTTGGATGATTTCTTTAAGGTTTTCTTATTTCCGAGAAATTATCGGATGAAAAAAGAAAAAACAATGGTAGAGAACACACTGATAAAAAAACCTAGACAGAAACATCGTTGACAAGTGATCTCAGGCGTCGAAAAATCTTCAAAGCTGTTAATTTTTTTTGTCCCACCGACAGCTGCGACTTAGCTCGTCGATTTACACTTCTAATTCTAAGACTTCAGGAATTCATATTCCTGTTTTATTTTTAGATTTTAGGATAACCGTGACACGACTTCAAATTAAAAATATAATTATGATTGAAGCTACAGTAGGTTAATTGCGTAAAAATAAAAAACTATTACATACATGTATCTGAATATGTATGCAAATACGAGAAAAAATGCGGGAACACCAATACTTAATGGAGTTCCCATTGCCATAAGAAATGGAGCAAGAAAACGATGAGTATAGAAAAATATTCTCGCAGAACAAAATCTTTTCAACACAGTAAAAACATTGATAATGTAATGTCGTTTTTGTGAACACTGCTGCTTGGATATTATTTTGCTTTTCAGCAAAGCAGATAGAAAACAATTCTTGCGAGAGTTGAAAGTCAATGAAGATAATTATCGACATGTTTTCTTAAATGCACGTTTTTTGATACATAAGTTGCAAATGCGTTTCTTATCTCTATCAGCGTCATACATTACAAAATACGAGTTCAAAATGAGAAATACTAACTTTGTTTCATCAAGATGGCATCAAAAAAATTGGCTTACTCCATATTTTTAATTTTCTAGTGCAAATCTTGTAAAAAATTGTTGAGCCTACCCTAGATCCAAAACGTTCCGCCACCTATGAACATGGCCATAGTTGTCTAAAGACTGAGTTAGTTTCAATAGGTTTGAATTATTTAAAGGATGATTATCGAACTCTGTACAACTGAGATGATTATTCATTTTAGTTCCTAATTATGCACCAATAAGATTGCACCTCAAATCGTTTCTATTCTCAGCCCACAAAAATTTCATATGGCTGGAGGTTAATTCACAAATAGCATTCTAGGTTGATATTGAAAAAGCGAACTAAACTAGTTTTTGTGCATGAGGTACATTTTAACCGTCAAGAAGATAAGCTCACAAATAAACGCATGTTATCAGGCCTAACAAGCAGAAACGACGTGTTTTCTTATTGTCTATTGCATCTATGAAATAGTGTGATAGTTCTCTTTTTCTTTGTTTTATTGATTCAAAATATCAGTACAATTAAACGTGACAAAATCCTTTAAAAAACCAGGAAAAACCAGGAGAAAATCATAAAAATCAGCTCCTGGATTCAGGAGATTTTTTCATCAGGAGAAAAGTCTAAAAACCAGGAGTCTCCTGACTAAATCAGGAGATTTGGCAGCCCTGTTAGCATGTCAAATGGCGATAGCCTACTGTATCTGTTATGTGCTTTCAAGGACATACATGTGACATATGCCATTTCAATATTATTTTTTTAAATTTAAATGAAAGAAAAAAAAAACAATTTCTAAAACTTCTTTTGAGATTTTCTCAGGACATAGTTTCCAATCAAAAAAATTGAAACTTCTCTCTCCTGTTTCAAGCTATTATCAATATTATTTGTTTTTCGTTTTAAAGGTCTCAATGAGAATAAACTTTTGTCCGAATGGATTCTTTAAAGTTGGTTTCTGAACTGAGAAAAATGGAATTTATTGTTGCTGGACTACCATTTTTTATGCTAATTTTAAGAGCCTTGCACTAAAATGCTCACAAAAAATGAATAAAATGAATATAAAAATTCTGTTCGGATAAAAGTTGTATTACTTTAATTTGAAACCAGTCCGAGTTCTCTACCTCTTCTTATGCCAAAGTTATATCGATTCTCCTGAAGACCAAAAATGACCCATGAATTAGCTGAAAATTCGATCTAGTAGGATCTATCGAACTGAAATTTTTACCAGAAGTGCATCTCTCCATGATCACTCATTCCTAAAAATTTCAGCATGAAAGAACCATAATCAAATTATTAATCAGTGTTATATAACTTAAGTGTGATTATTTGATTATATTGTCAATGCATTTCCTATAATTGTCTTTAATTTGTTTAGAATCGGATCAACAAAGATTCTGAAACATCAAAGTACGCCAATCAAGTCCTAAATTGATGAAAAACTGATAAACATTACTATTTCTCATTTAGGTTAAGACATCATGGTATTAACTATTGTGATTCAATTCTACTCGAGGATCCTCCTAATTATTTGAAATCGGACTTAGAGGAGTGTCACACAGTTTATTTACGTAAATTAGGAAAATTTCATAAATCACTAGCTATAAAATGTACTTATCATGTAGTATGTATACATGTAATGATAAGATATACCAAAGAATATTACTTAATGAATTTTAGATATCTTATATATGTTTTCTATTACTCTTCTCATATGTTCTTCTCTTCAAATTTTCACCACCATCGAATAAAATTCCATCAATTCATTGGACTGAAATATTAACAATTATTCTTGTTTCATGTATGTTAATAGAAGAAATTCATTATGTATGTATTTTAACTATTAAAATACAATCTGTTTCTCTATTAATATTTATTTTTTCTTTCATCTTTAGTTTTTTACTCAAGATAGTATAACTAATTTTGGAAAATTCAAAAGTTATTGTCGTGATCTTTTTAAACCATTGACTATGATTGCATTTATTCTTTTCTACAGTGGATTAATTCTACGATTTAGACATACAAATTCTAAAGAGGACTTTGTAGCAGCAAGGTTTGTTTATTGAATCTTTTTCTTTTGGTTAATCTGTACAAGATAAAAATTCTATGCATTCCTGTTATATCTATAATGACAGACAAGAAAATACTAAAAAAAAAAAACAAGAACTTTATGTATCAATATTTGAAGATATTGATATTAGACAGAAAAAAAAACCGAGAGCATATCAAAATTTTAGTTTTGTTTTTTCTGCAATATAATAAATAATAGATTCATTGATGCCACCATTTATTAACACATTGATGATATGTGTATTGAGACTCGATGATAGTTCACTAATTTATATCGATATTTACATACTTCTATTCAATGATATCTAAAATTTTTCTGTTTTCTCCACATATATTTATTAGAATTGTGATGGCTATTGATATTGCAATCTGGTGGCTTCGTTGTTTATCATTTATTATTGTTATACCATTTCTTGGGCCACATCTCGTAGTTATTGGAAAAATGGTATTAAATAAATGTTTTTATATCGTTTGTTTTATTCATCTTTCTTTTGTTGTTTATAGCTTCAAGATCTTTTATTCTTTTTATGTATTATTGCAATTGTTATGATTGGTTATGGTGTTGCATCTCGTTCAATAGTTTATTATCCAGTAGAGAATGGTTTTACAACAGAAACAAATGGTTCTATAGATACTAGTTTTGATGGTAGAGCTGTTTTTTATCAAGTTCTATATCCAGTTTACTATTTGTTATACGGACAATTTGGTAACGAATTACGAAATCTTGATGGTATGTATATGTAAGATAATATTAATACTTTATAGATTATTTTTCACCTATTGTAAAGATAATCCCAATGCTGGATGGTCCATTGCTACTCATGTATTACTTGCTTTTCATATGATTTTTGTGAATGTTTTATTAGCTAATCTACTTATAGCTATGTTTAGGTAAAGTGATCTATTATGTTAATTTTCCTGTTGTAATAATATTTTGTTTATGTTTTTGTTTTTCATAAAAGTAAACGATTTGATGAAGTTCATGATGATACAAAAAAAATTTGGTATAAACAACAATATTTATATACACGTGAATATTACGCACGTTCACCATTTTTACCACCAATAAGTTTTTTTTATGATATTTATTATTTAATTCGTATGTTCGTCTTCTTTATAAGACGAACTTGTTTAAACCAATCAGCAGATTCAAATGCTATAACTTTCAGTGAGAAAATAAGAATGAAGAAAAAATTTTCTTTTTGTTTAACATTTCTTTATCGACTTTTTTATAGAAATTGTTCCCAATGATAGATCTATTGTAAAACAATGGTATGATTTTGAAGATTCATCAACATATGAATATGCTTATGAAAAAGTAAAAGAATGGAAAATTACACTTGAAAAGTAATATAAATAACAAAACAAGTTTTTAGTTTTTTACATAAACATTAAAATAACTTTAGATCAAAATCAGAATTAGATTCAGGTAATAAAGTAAAAAACATTCAAAATGATAATAATTCAGATAACAAAGAAAAAAAGGAGAAAAAGATTTCAAATGACAACGATTCAGATGATATTCTTAATAGTTTGAAACAATTACAAGATGATTTGAATAAATTGAAATTGAAAATTGAAGCTATACCTAACAATACGAATACGACATCAAAGCATCAAAGTAATATATATATATATATATGATCAACCAATGAGAAATTAAAAACTCAATAAACTTATTTTGTTTTTAGAAATGGACAAGAAAAACAGTGAAATTAATATGTAATTCAATAACTTTAATTATTATTTATTTATCGAACTATTATATTTTTTTATTTTGTATTTATCTTCGATTCAAATTTTCCTTAAGTTCTATGAATACATTGATGTTTTTCTTTTTTCTTTTTTTTTGTTCATTTAACATGCAATATAAAAGTCTTTGCACAAATGTCAACCTATATTAGATCATAATACTTACCTTCTAAACTAATCAAAGTTTTTTTTTTGTTGGAAAGAACAATGTCTAAACTACAAATTTTGTATCAGACTTATTTTTCCAGAACGACGAATCTACAAAGTAGGAGAAGGCAAAAACTATAAAAAAAAAAAAAAGTTCTTGTAACTTCACTTTGGCACAATATCATTTTCTATTATCTGGTCGTTTTTTTAATATCAGAAACAAAATAAAAACACACGTTTAATGATGATTTTTCTTACTACCTGACTATTTTGTAACAATAAAAGAGGGTTTTTGAATTCTTTTCTTTCTGGTAAATTTCTAGGATCTGACGTATTTAAAACAAATAACACACAAGGATTTCAATTCATACATAGTTTTTGGATATTGTGATTGATCTTCTTTCAAATTTATAGTTCTTGCAAAAGGCTCTATTTTACAAAAATTTCAATTTTCCATTTTTTTTAATTCAAGAGTCAAAAGCTAATCATGAAAAAAATTTACCAAAGTTGATGTCGATAGAACTTTTGATCTACCACATTTTGGTGTAGTTTTTATTAGAATTCGACCATTGGTAACTCAAGATAAGTGAGAAATAGAAACTTTTCAAGTAGTAAAAATCTTGCAAGAACTTTTTTTGTAGAGATGTTTAGTTTTTGCTTTCTCCTGATTCGTAGATTCGTTCTGGAAAAATCATATTAACTGGTGATAGTCGCATTTTACATTTTAATTTTCATATCGTATTTCAAAAGCAAAACTATATCACAAGATCCAACAGGAAAAGCTCTACAATCTATCTACACAGTAAAACTTATTGAAATTGTTACCTAAAACAAGTAAAATTCTCTACGATCAATTTTCTCATAGTTGAAATTTAGATCGCTTCAAACTTTTGTCGATTTCGAAAACAACAAGTGCAACTATGAAAAAATAAAACTTGTCAGTGTAGTTCCAAGAGAGACCGAAATGTGTAACTAACAAACTCTGAGTCTTATAAATTTAATACAAACGATCAAATGTTTTAAAATAAGTTATTAGAAAAAAAAATTTTAAACAGATGAATAAATGATAACTATAGTACTTTTAATATTTGAAACATGCACTCTGAATATTTCTTTGGTTAAACTATTCGTATTTATAATTACTTTTCTATCAGATTATTTTATTCATTTAACGTTGTGATATTCAGAAAAATTTATTTGTATTTTCATGTACATTTCTAATACATAAATTCTATTCATTTAAGGAAATACCAAGGATGGTCGGGGTGTGGGTGTGGGTATGAGAATAAGACCCACATCTACACCCTCGATTTTTCATAAGGTTGTGATGCTTCGTAGATGCTAAAAAATTACATGAGTTCGAATTCTATACGTTCCATATCTTCATAGAACGAACTTTGCGAAAATTGTGAATTTCATCAAAAATACGATTTTCTATCACGTCCAGGGTTGTCGATTGTTTTCAGGAGTTGGGGGGGATCAAATTTTGACAGAAAGTGCTTATTCCTACAGAAGTAATGAAAATTTCACAGAAAGTGTTAAAAATCTCGGCAGACAGTCTACCATTTTAGGGGGGGGGGCTCCCCTCCCCCTAATCGGCAAGCCTAATCACGTCTCCTAAGCGATACGAACTATTCAGAATGCTGCATTTTTTACTAGAATCAGTACGCATTAAGATCTCTTCATAGCAAAACTTGTAGTTCGCTAACTTGATCCATTCGTGACATTTGTATATATAAGGACTGATCCAAAATCTTGCTCAACGTCCTTAAAGATGATCTTTTCTGTAAGTCGTTTCTGAATGGTTCAAGATGATTTGATCACGAAGTTATAAATCTCAGATAGCTCTTCCAACTTTTTAAACTCAGCCTTCTAACAACTTGCTTTCTTGAAAGAGAATTTTGTCTAAAAATGATGATTTTCATCAAAAATTCATTTTTTTTGCGGAGAATTCTATTGGCCGAAAGGAAGCTTATATTCAGATAGAATTCGTAACGAATATATATTGCTATTGTGATCTAACACTGGTAAAAGCTTTAGATCTCTATATTATTTTCATCACGAATTATAAAACACCAAAGGTATTCAAAATGTAATTTTTTTCGCTCGTATTGGATGAGTTATAAGTAGAGGTGTTAGCCGCCGATTTTTCGCCGCCGTCGTCGAATAGGATGTCTCGGGGGGGACTTTTCCGCCGCTGCCGATTGAGTGAAAGGTCACAATTCAAACTTCCTCTTTTTCTAAATTATCACTTGTTGATAATAATCAGTAATATCTCAAGTTTGGTCTGTGTGACAATTAGAGATTGCTGAAACCAGAAAAACTTTTAAAAAATAGGAATTAATATATTTTTTCTTGGATGACTTATGGTCTGAAAGTCGAGCTGATAAGCAAAGATCTCTTCTTGTGATTTTGTGACGCTACCACATTTATTAGGTTCTTATTTGCATTGTTTCTTCATGTATAATACATTCATCGCTATTATTTTTTCTGTTTCGCGATTTTTGACTTATTCAATATGCAATTTCGGCTAACTGTCTAGTTGGAGTTCGAATATAAATGTAATTAACATGACGATTCGAATTCGAATCCCAATCGATACTCGTCTTCCGGTTTATAAAAAAGAAAAATATTTAGTTTGAATTTGAATTCGAGTAATCAATGAAAATAAATCTTACTCTTTTTCTCAACTCACAGAAAAGTATCGATTTGAATTTGGATTCAAATCCTAATTTTCAATATTAGTTTCATCTATGGTCCAATTTTAGCTGCCATGTTTGAATTTAATTTGTATTTTAGATGGATAGTCACATTAATGCCATTTTGGCTTATATCATGAGTTATTGTTGTGTGGTTTGCAGTTATTTTATGAGGAGATGCTATGAATTTTTTCAATTAATGAAAATGAAGTTCCCTCTCTCATAGAAAAATTTTTGCATAAAAAGACACGAGCATGCTAAGAGAGAAACAGCGTTATAATTCTGTGAAAACAGAATGTCTAATGTTTGTCGTAACGGCAGCGACCTATGAAAGACCTTGTGAAATAACACAGAAAAAATTTTGTCGTCGCCGTCGCCGCCAAAAACGACTTCCTCGGCGAGAGCTCTCCGCCGTCACCGCTGATGCCTTAAAACTTTTCCGCCGTCGCCGCTGATGCCTTAAAACTTTTCCGCCGCCGCCGCTGACTAAATAATCGGCTAACACCTCTAGTTATAAGAAATTAGGAGCCCAAAATTTTGAGCTGAAAATTTTATATTGAGTATAATTGATGAAAATCTATGTCCATAAAAAAAATTTCAGGTCAATCGACTATACCGTTGTTGAGATATGGTCCTGTTAGGGAGCATGTCTTGCTCGAAGCATTGATTTTTAATACTTTTTTATAAAATAGCTGTAAATATGTCAATATGGTTGAATATTTTTCGAAATGGCTTGTATCAAAGTTCATAAAACTCTTTCCTCTATAAAAATATCTCAAATTGAACAACTTTGTTCATGGCTTATACGCGAAATGATACTTAAATACGTTACATCACATTTCAACCTACCAAATATGTACTGTAAAAAAAAAATCTATTACACATGTATGAAGGTTTTTTTCTATATTTAAATTATTGATAAAACAAAACTGTTTGATACAAAATTCATTATTATATATTGAAAGAATTTTCAACTAATAATTACATCACTATCATCATCATGTGTATCTTTTTTATTCAAAGATGTAATGTTTATTTCAAGAACTAATGTAGATTTATGATTATTTGTTGATCTACTTTGAGTACATGATGATAGTAATGCTTTGGTAGAATTTCTCTCGAAATAATGTGATATTCCAGGAAAATCATCATGTGGTTCTTTACAATGATCAGAAAGATGTGTGCATACAATTTTAAATTTATGATTCTTATTGTCTGAAGATTGTTCCAATGATATAGAATGTATTATTTTGTGTGTATGTTGCTTATCTCCTGATAATGATGATGGTTTTTTGTCGTTGTCTTGTTCTATTCTTTCTAAAAAATAAGTTGAATCAATAAATAGTAATAGAAGAAGAAAAAAACCAATGTAAAAGATAAAAAGCGACCTTTTGTAAGTTGATTTGCATAATTGTCTACATAAACTTTTATAACTTGTCTATTATTTTGATTCACTTTATAGGGTATAGTAAATTTGATCGGATCTGATCGATATGTTTCTTCGTCATCTTTAAAATAGAAAAATATACTATCATAATACTAAGAAAAATAAGTAACTTACTATTCAATCTTGCTATGATATAAATAGTATGACTAATATTTTTATCAAGTTTTAAATTTTTAATACAAACTTTATATACACCACTTTGTGATGGTCGACGTATCTATGTTATATATTAATTGATAAATGTAGAAAAATGCTTGTTTTTAAATTTCTTTCTCATTTAATCAATACACATACATAAACAATTTCGTTACCATTTAAGACGAGAACATATTTTTCAGCGATTGAATCACCAAGATGAAACCATTGAACTATCAAATAAGGTGTTAAATCATTTATTGCCTCTTCAAAGATTATAGTTGGTGCTAAAGAAGAATGTTTTCGTACGATCGAAAACTCCTAATAGTTATAGATAGACTTTTAAAAAAAATTCTTTTTAAGTTAATTTATGACTTACTTGAGTTCCAGACGTCTTTGTCATCATTTTCGTATTTTTGGGTATAGCTTTGATAAGAACTAATGTTTTTCCTTTTGTTGGATCAAAACCAGATGCCCATATATTTTGAAATTGAGCATTAAATTCAACTCGAATAGAATTATCAATGACTAACTATATAGAATAGAAAAAAAAAAACAAAACTATCTCATTTTCATCCATTACATTTAAAACTATACTTTTATCTGTACAATTAATTTTATGTTAGGTTTTTTTTTGTTAGAAATTGATACTTACTACAAAGTTTTCAATGAGTTCTCGAGCTTCCTCAGGGCTAATTTCGATGATACCATAGATTTTATTATCGAAAAATACTGAATTTTCAAGAGTAAAATCAATCTTTAAGTTTTTCCATAGATCATCATTTTTCTATAATTAAAAAGAAATTTGTTCCTAATTATTATTATTATTATAAAAAATCTATTACTTCTGGTGAATTAGATGATCTAGAAGAAAAAGAAAAGCATGAAAAAAATGATTTTGGATTTATTCATTTTAAATACAAAAATAAATAAATCTTACTGTGCATTATTTTGAAAAGATTGATTCGACATCTTTTTTCAATTAAATTGGACATTCATCATTAATTAAAAAGGAATATGAAAATTTTTTTGTTAATCAATATTTTATTGAGATTTGTTTTTCTTTCTCTTCGGAATAAATTTTTTTTCTTTTCTTTATGAAATTGCTCCTCAGGAGAGAAAAAAACTCTTACAGACAGAGAAGGAAGTGTTTGTAAAAAAGAATCCAATGAAAATTAAACTCTTGCTACTGTTATTTTGATTAGTTGAGTTTTCTGTTTCCACGGCAATAATAAGTCAGTGTCTATATGGTTGCTATATAACTCTTCAATGTTATATTTGAAATAAAAACACATAAAATAGATTATTCATAATTTTGATTGTAGCAAAAGACAACAATTTAGTTAAGAAAATGTCATTAACTCCTTCTGATTACGATAAAGTAGGCAAATAAAACATAACTTAACAAATTTAATTAGATTTCTTTTACATATTTTTTTTTCGTTCAGGCTGAACGCAAATCATCTTTTAGAAATTTTAATTCAGATGATCGTTGTCAATATTGTAACAAGTTTAAATCAGAACGGTTTGTTGTTTCTTTTAATTTTGTTATTATCTTCAATATCTATATGTGTTTTATTCGTAATAGTTATGATGAAGAAATTTGTGAATGTAATCAAAACAAAGGTTTTCATCTAAGTCCAAATACAAAACTAGAAGAAGATAAAGAGAAGACGCCAATTCCTATTATAAAAGTCCGCGGTATAGAATGTGGAAAACTTGAAAATGGTGCTTTGGTATGTAGACTCAAAAAAAAAAATTCTTTTGTCTATCAATATTTGTTTAAATTCATTTAGTATGCTCATTTTTCTATGGCAACACCGGTAAGAAGAATTGCAGAGTTTATTATACAAGAATGGAACATTCCAAAACCTAAATTGATTATGTCAATTATTGGTGGTGCAAAAAATTTTACATTAACCGATCAATTTGAATCAAATATTATTAATGGAATTATTAAAGTTGCTCTTAAATCAAGTAAATATATATAATGAATTGAATAAAATAATTGAATTTATTTGTTTAATAGATGTATGGATGATTACAAATGGATATAAAGTTGGTATTGTTCAACTTATTGGACAAGAAATTAATAGAATTAAATTATCAAAATTCAATAAAAATACCATCATTGCTATTGGAATTGGTAACTGGGGAAGTATAAAAAATGTCGAAATATTAACAGATATGCAGACAGACGAAAAAAATAAGGTTATAAGAAATTTTTACATTTAAAGTATTAATACATATATATATTTTGTTTTTTTTCTTGTTTCAGAAAAAAAAACGTATACCCAAAATTTTAGATAGTGAAAATGAAGAAGAAGATGAACTACAAAGTGGTGAATGTTATCTTGAAATGAATCATAGTCATTATCTTATGCTAGATGATGGAACTTATCGATGTTTTGATACGAAAGATTATCGAACATGTCTATGTAATTTCATATCAAATCTATACAGAAAAAATAGATTTTATAGTATGTAAATATTAAATCTAAATTATGCCAAAGATATTCTATTATCTAGACTGAAAAGTTGAGACCATTTTCCTTGACAAGATCATACTTAATATTAGATATGTCTAGGGTAAATTTTTCTTCGTATCCTATACTCTGACAGAGAAAAATTTTCTTATCATTAATCTATCCTGCAGGATTAGATAATAAAATACATCTGTATCTAATAATAGCGTATTCTTATTGTTTTATGGGTGTGAGTGAATATCAGAGCCTGTCGGGTAGGATCCGGACCGGTACCCGCTCGGGTCTGGGTCTAAAAACTTCGTTTTGGTCGGATCTGGTTCTGAAGAAAACTTTGATACATACAATGTATTGTGAAATTTTTCAAAATTTTGTTCGTTTTATGAAGAAAAAAAAATTGAATGTATTTAGCAAAATAGATAAAAAAAAACAACAAAACACTTTTTTGAATATATTATCGAAAATGATTTATCATCGTGCTTGGATTCAAAAAATTTAAGCGATCGAGTTCGGATCCAAAAATCTTGGACCCGACGGGCTCTAGTGAGTGTGGGTATTGATTTTATATTTAATTTCGTCCACACTCTTGAATATAAGTTTTAACTTCAAGTTTTTGCGGTTTCACCCTTCCTCCTTCCCTCCCACTTCCTTTCCCATTACAGACCTCAACAACTGCACACAAAAGACTTCAGATTCTATACAATATTTCAATTCTTTCATAATTAATTTGCAAAAAACTATTTCTCACTTTACAAATGATGCATTAGGATACCAAATTTGAAGAATATACGTGAGCTCCACATTTTAGCTCCAAAGGAGCTGTACTAACAAACTCTTACAAGTGTACAATATAAAATAGGAAAATGCTTGATTTGTAGTCTATTAAGCCCTCCCTTCAAAAAAAATCACTTTTCGTCAGAATCATTGAAATTGAAATAAATACATAGGGAGATAGCCTGTCATTTGCTCTTTCATAAACGATAAAAACTCTTCCTGGATACTCCCTTTTTTCCGAAAAATTTTCAAGATTTTTGATAACCTCTATTCGAAAAACCAGTGGTTTTTTGAAAAATCCAAGTCTTTTTCTCAAAATGGTGGTCCAACAACACATCTCCAGCGAAAGTCAACTATAATTCGATATAAAGTGAAATATTTTTTTGTTTGTTTGAAAGAGCATCAAAAACTGCAGTGCCTATGAGAGAGCCCTTCTTTTTTTTATAAAGCTATATTATTATTATATTGATAAGTAATTTTATTATACAAGCGCCAGTTTTTTTTTAGGGAGTTTTTGAGTGATTGAACTTGTGAAGCCTTTTTTCCTTCATAAAGATAAGAACAAAAATAAAAGAGCCCTCATAGTCACTGCCTCCTAACATGCTCTTTCAAATGAAAAAAAATAATCAACCATATTGAATGAACACCCATAGAGATTTTTTGGACTCTTGTTTGGTTCGTATCTACCTTATACATCAGGATAGGAAGCTGAAAATTTTACCATAGACGTCCTTTTACATCCTCAAAGTTTCATGGCATTTCGATGTTCCTGAGCTGAGATCGATTTTTGAGGGAGAGGGTCTTAACTGATTCAGTCAATGTTATTCAAAGATTTATTCTTTTCTACAATTATATTCAATTTATTCTTTATTTTATTTATATTTAGCTTCTCTTGTTACTATCGTAGTTGAAGGTGGTGAGGATACGATAAGAAATATGTATTCTGATTTAAAAAACAAAGTTCCTATTGTTATTATTAAGGTAAGATTATAATATGAATCATACATATTATTTATTCTTATTCGTCATGAACATTTTGTTTTTACATATAGGGCAGTGGTCGTGTTGCTGATTTTATGAGTCGTTGGTTATTGTCTACAAAAGATTTCAATGATGATTCCGATGAAGATAAAGTGATATATGAAATTGATGAATTATGTACAAGATATGCTCCAATAGAAGTTTTCAACAACAGAGCACAAACAAAATCGAAAATAAGGTTAAAATAGTTTTAAAATTATTTATTTTAATCATTGAATTTTTACAGAACTGATATATGTGCTGAACTTCATGTTGATTCATCTTCAAAAAAGTAATAAAAATTTTTCAATTTTGAATTGAATTTTTTTAATTTTTCATTTAAGACTTCATCAACTCTTTAATAATTATAAGAAAAATCTTGAAAAAGAATTAAAAAATGTTTTAAGTGGTGATAGTGAAATGAATAAGGAAAAACGTGAAAAATCTGAATCAAAAAAGAATGATTTCAATGGAGAATTATTAGTTCTGCTTGATAAAGTTATGTATTGTCTACAACCAGGCCTTCGTCCGCTAATAAATATATTTGACTTAAATTCGGAAACCGATTTATCAGAGACAATTTTTGAGGCTATTTATAAATGTAATTTAATTATTTTCATATATTTTCATACTTATTTTTTTCATATTTTTAGCATTTAGTAATTTACCACGAAATATTCAAGAAAAACTAACTAGTAAATAAAAATAATCATCAATTGGATTTAACAAAAAAAACAAAAAAATAATTTGTTTAATTGTAGAACAAACATTACTTGATTTAGCAATCGATTGGAATTGTATTGATACAGCCAAAGAATTCATTTTTCAGAATTCATTAAAACATATTCCGGTATTTATATTTATATCATTTGTTAATTTATATTATTGATTTTTTTTTGTAATTTTAGCATTCAGAAGAAGTCTTTATAAATGCTTTAACAAAAAATTCACCATTATTTGTATATGAATTTCTTAAATTAGGTTTTGATCCAGCTGATATATTCTTTCCAAAAAATCAATTTACTGATGAAGAAAATCGATATAAAGATTTTTTTAAAATACTTTATACACATGATTTAGTGGTATATGATTATTTGAAAAAAAAATTAATACTTTTTATCTTTCTAGATGCGTGATGAAACTCATTTAAAAAATTTTATTGACTCTGATAAATCTACAAATGATAAAAGTATTAATAATGTTAAATCACTTAATAGAGTTTTGTATGGTCTTATTGGTGATTATATGTATAAACTTTATTTTGATACAGAACAAGCTGAATATAACGATCGAATAAAATGGGGATTAATAAAAAATTCAATAAAATTCGAACAAAATAAAAATAATAAATCTCTATTAAATGAAGTAAAAAAAGAAAAAGCACATAAATATATAATGCGTGATTTATTTTTATGGGCTATATTAATGAATTATATTGATATGGCTAAAATTTTTCTATGTTATATGAAATATCGTATATGTCCAGCATTAATTGCAACAAAAATTTTAAAACAATATCATTCAAAAGCTAATTATGGTGATTTAAAAGATCGTTATATGGAAAATGCAAAATATTTTGAAAAATATGCTATTGATTGTTTAAGTAAATGTGATGAATATGATGAACGTCGAGCATGTGATATTGCTATACAACAAAATGAACTTTATGGATATGTTACTTGTCTTCAAGTATGTTTAATAATTTTGTTCTAAATAATTAGAAAAAAAATATTCTAATATCTATCAAAAGATTGCAGCTGATGCTGATGATAAATTATTTATTTCAACATCATGTTGTTCACAAGCTATGCATAATATTTGGTATGACAAACTTCATCCGAAAAAAACGCTTGCAAATTATGGATTCTTTTTAATTCTTGGTATTCTTTCATGTGGTCTTTTGTCTCCTACTTGTATCGACTATCGAGAAGAAGAAAAGGTTAGGAAAAATAAAATTTTTTTATTAAAATCATTGATATATATTATTTAATATTTAATGTATGTCATAGAAATGAAATCGATTCAATTTAAATCTGATACTCTAATATATTGGTTTTGATTAGATTTGTAGAAAATAATTATCGAAGATAATAGAAATAGATCTTTACATTGACTTGTCAAAGAAAAGTGATTCCAAAACTAATTGATTTTTTAGATTACTTATTGAACCTAAAAACTAAAACAACAGAAGAACATTCTTTTTTTTTGATTTTGATGAAAAACAAAAAAATTATTCTGAATTTTAATAAAATTTATAGTATTGCATAGTGTTTCGATAGACTTTCGAGATTTAAATTAATATATATTAATCATATGATGATTATTGTGAAGGATAGATACTGATTTCTTATTTTGAATACAAAAAAAAATAAAATCTCATGATTATTTTTATTAGGATGTAGTTGCTGGTGAATCTCTTAAACCTATGTATGTATATATCAGATATAGCAAAATGCTTAATGATAAATTATTTTGTATTATATTTCTTTCAGTGTAGAACCATTTGGCATAGATTATATTGATCCATATCCACTTGAATATCCTCGTTATTTTAAACAAAAACTTGTATTTAATAAATATATACATCAATTGCAACATTTTCATTTATCTTTAGTAACGAAATATATTTATCATGTAGTATGTATACATGTAATGATAAAATATACGAAAAAATATTACTTAATGAATTTTAGATATCTTATATATTTTTTCTATTACTCTTCTCATATGTTCTTCTCTTCGAATTTTCACCACCATCGAATAAAATTCCATCAATTCATTGGACTGAAATATTAACAATTATTCTTGTTTCATGTATGTTAATAGAAGAAATTCATTATGTATGTATTTTAACTATTAAAATACAATCTTTTTCTCTATTAATATTTATTTTTTCTTTCATCTTTAGTTTTTTACTCAAGATAGTATAACTATTTCTGGAAAAATCAAAAGTTATTGTCGTGATCTTTTTAAACCATTGACTATGATTGCATTTATTCTTTTCTACATTGGATTAATTCTACGATTTGTACATGCAAATTCTAAAGAGGACTTTGTAGCAGCAAGGTTTGTTTATTCAATTGTTGAATATCATATAGAATATTTGTATCGATTGTTTGACATTATTTTGAAAAAAATTAAAGTAAATGAAATACAAAACTCTTATTTAGGATAGTCATGGCATTTGATATAGAACTATGGTGGCTTCGTTGTCTATCATTTATTATTGTTATACCATTTCTTGGACCACATCTTGTGGCTATTGGAAAAATGGTAGCAAAAAAAAAAAGAAAACCATTGGTTTATATCTATTGTTCACTTTAAATTTATCTTGTTTTTTATAGCTACAAGATCTTTTATTCTTTTTATGTATTATTGCAATTGTTATGATTGCATATGGTGTTGCATCTCGTTCAATTGTTTATTATCCAGTAGAAAATGGTTTTACAACAGAAACAAATGGTTTTATAGATATTAGTTTTGATGGTAGAGCTGTTTTTCGTCAGATTATATATCCTGTTTACTATTTATTATACTCACAATTTGGTAATGAAACACAAAATCTTGATAGTATGTATATTTCAGATGATTGTTATAGTTTATAGATTTTTTTTTTTATTCTTAAAAAGGTAATGTGAATGCTGGATGGTCAATAACAACTCAAGTATTACTTGCTGCACATATGTTATTCGTTAATATGTTACTTTTTAATCTGCTTATTGCAATGCTTAAGTAATATTTTATTTATTTTGTTAATTTTCTGTTTCTTTTCTTTTTACTATAATATGTTGATTCTTTTTTTGTTTTCTCTAAAAGTAAACGATTCGAGAAAGTTTATGAAGATGCACGAAATATTTGGCATACACAACAATATTTATATACACGTGAATATTTTACACGTTCACCATTTCTACCACCCATAAGTCTTTTTTATGATATTTATTATTTAATTCGGATGTTCGTCTTCTTTATAAGACGAAAATTTTTCTATAAACCATCAGATCCTGAAGCTCCAGTATTCAGTAAGTTTGACATAATATGCATAATGTTTTATGATGTTTTTGATAATTTGTAAATAATTTTCTATTTTGATATTTTTATAGAAATGATTGCAAAAAATCAATCTCTCTTAGATGATTGGCGTGAATATGAAGGTGCATCAACTTATGAATATGCTCATGCCGAAGTAAAAGCATTAAAACCTACATCGACAAAGTAAATTTAGAAGTAAAATAAAGAAGTATTTTATTTGAAACGTTATTTTTTAGGTCATCAAATGATTTAATAGATACTATGGATAGTGTTAAAGAAATACAAGAAACTGTGAAGAAATTAAATTCCGTAATGGAAGGAAAGAAACTTGGATCTACGAATTAAGTTTGCATAAAATCTTTTATTGTTCAGTATTAAATTTAAAATATAAATCAGATCTTTTAAATGAAACACATCAATCATCATCAACAATATAAATAATAATTGAAAAATATCATACTTATAGCTTAATGTTGAATGTTTTAATAATTAAAGTTTTTTTTTTTCGTGATCTTTCATTACTAATTAACAACTGTTGTATCGATTTTTAGTATCTTTATTTTTTAGTTATACTTTTTCCACTTACATAAATAATCTAGAATGAATCATTTTGTTTTTGTTTTTGGAAACGATTTAATATACTTTTATGTTTAAAATAAAAATAAACGAATATTTTCAAATGGTAAATGAATACGATGTTTGATGTGAGGTTTGTAGTTCTTTCCCGCGTATATTCGCACGCTAATTTTCATATAAGGAAAAAAAGTAAATGAGTCAATTATCATTAGTTTCCTTGACAAAATTCGAAATGATATATTGAGAATTTAAAGTTTCATTTTGTTTTTCTTCTTCCTAAAAGAAAATAGCATATGGGTGTGGGTGTAGGTGTATGGGGTGGGTATAAGTGTGGGTGTGGGTGAGTGTGGGTGTAAGTGTGTGGGATGGGTGTGGGGGTGGGTGTGGGTGGGTGTGGGTGTGGGCGTGGGTGTGGGTGGGTGTGGGTGTGGGTGGGTGTGGGGTAGGTGTGGGTGTGGGCGTGGGTGTGGGTGTGGGCGTGGGTGTGAGTGTGGGTGTGGGTGTGTATGGGTGATTAGGGGAAGGGAAACACCCACGCCCATACCCACAGCCACATTCACAGACACCTACAGCCTCAGCCACAGCCGTACTGACCCACACCCTCGCTAGTCCTAATACAAACCAGTCCAATTGAATTATTCGGACAATTAAATAAAAGCAAAAGAGACTGTTTGAAGAGTTCAGACTAGTTTGAACTAGAATTGACACTAATCTCTCGAAAATGAACTAATCATGACAAATACGAATGACCTTTCACACAAGTTCGTGTCATTACGGAAAACAATCCAGACTAGCCAGACTTTCAATTTTGCTGGATAAAATGTTCCACTACACCTATCATCTTCTTGTTTTCTGGCTTTTTTCTTCCAGTAACGAGCCTGGAAATAAGAAAAGAAAGAATGGACTAGTCATGACATGACGTGAGCACGTCGTGGACTAGTCTATGATTAATTACACAACATTCCTCTTGAATACGAATAGTTCTGAAGAGCTGCAAGACGTTTCAGCAGGGGCGGCGCGGGGGGGGGGGGTTGGGGGAGGGTACCCCCCTCCTGCTTTGGAAAGTTCGACTGCAACTCTCTCCGATTTTGAGAAAAACTGTCCCAAAATTACTCCATTTTGGTAGAAAATGTCTTAAAATTTCTCCAGTCAATGAGAAAATGTCCCAAAATTGCTCTAATTTTGGAGAAAATGTCTCAAAATGTCTTGAATTTGGCAGAAAATATCTTAAAAATTCTCTAGTTGGTGAGAGGATATCTCAAAATTTCTTGAATTTTGCAGAAAATGTCTCAAAATTTCTCGAGTTGGTGAGAATATGTTCCAAAAACTTCTTCAATTTTGGAAAAAATGTCTCAAAACTTCTCCGATTCGAGAGAAAATGTCTTAAAATTTCTCCAACCAATGAGGAAATGTTCCAGACTTTCTTCAATTTGGGACAGAATATCTTAAAATTCCTCGAATTTTGAAGAAAATGTCTCAAAACTTCTCCGATTTGAGAGAAAATGTCTTAAAATTTCTCCAGTTAATGAGAGAATGTCCCAAAATTTCTTCAATTTTGGAAAAAATGTCTCAAAATTTCTTCAATTTTGGAAAAAATGTCTCAAAATTTCTCCAATTTTGGAGAAAATGTCTGAAAAATTTTTCAACTTCCGAGAAGATATATTTCGAACTTCTTCCGGTTCTGAAGAACCTTTATTAGAATGTTCTCCATTTTTTTGTAATTGATAACAGAAGAATCTACCTATCTACTTGCTTTCAAAAACACTAGTAAAAAAAAGGTTCTAGGTACTTACAATTTAGAGACTTTTTTCTATTTTCTCCCATTTTTCACAATACTCCCCCCCCCTGCTCTGAGCCCTTCGCGCCGCCCCTGCGTTTCAGACTGGTAGTGCGAACATTTTAGACTAGTTATGTCGAACGTTCTTTCCCGTTTTCTGCCTGTCTGGATTTTCCAAGAAGTGGAAGAAGAAAAAAAGACTACAGTCAAATAAAGAATAAAAAAAATGAAACAAAGAAAAAAAAACGATAAACAGTGGACAAAATTGACTCGTTAATCTATATTTTTTTTCTCCTCACTTATTTTCAATGAGATTTATTCATTGAAAATAATCTCATCTAGAAGAAAAACGTTTTCATCGAACTATTTTCATTTATAAAAAGAGTTTTCTAGGAATTGATTTCAATGAAAATAGTGCTCGAATGAATACTCGCAAAGAGAAATTCTATTATCTTCTATAATAGAATTCAATCTAAAATAAACAGAAAATTTCAATTGAACAATTTTTAAAAAGAATAAAATTTCTAAGGAAGATTTCATTCTTTCATATTGATGAATAAATATTAACATAGAAGACCAATTTAGAAAACTAATGGTTTACTAAAGAAAAAACCTCTTGAAACCATTTTATTGTAAGAAATTCTCTGAGTACTAATTAGAATGATCGAAGAGTTTCTCTGAAAGATTTATTGACAAATAACGATAGTTCTCATCAGCTTTTGAAATTTAATGTCATTTTTTCAGTAAGTGAATTGACTTTTGTTTTCAATGTATTGAACTAATCTATTCAATTATCTCAATTGAAAATTATCTTGAAAAGATCCTTCATTGATTATGAAAAGACTATCGAATAACCGGAAATTTTCAATAATCAAATAGAAAGAAAACAATTTTATCAATATTTATATTAAACGATTCTTATCGAAGTTGATCAGTTTTCTCATTAAAAAGCAAAAAGATTAATTGAAGAAATCGAAAAAAAGAAATCATCGTTTTTTTGTTGTTTCAGTTCCTTCTAGAAAGATTTTTTCTAATTTTTCTATTTCAGAAGAAAATACAAGCAATAAATAAAATTTGAATTGATGAAAAATAATCTAATCCAGTTAAATTAAATTAAATTTCATTTGATGATAATAGTTGATATTGCAACTCTCTTTACCTTTTTTTTTCCATAGTAACTCAATGAAATGTAAAATTATTTTTAATCTGATCTCAAAAAAGAAATTTTCCTTTTTCTGATTTTCAAACAATGTCAATTTTCGTTGTTAAACTTAACAAAATTTGTAAATATTCGAATCAGATTGATAAAAATCAATTGAAATAAGAAATCTTCAATGATTATTCAATGAAAGACATGCGTCAAATTTTATATCAATCAAAAATATTTTTTTCTTCAAAGTTTTGTTAAAAAACCTACATAAGCAATAAAAAAATTTTTTCAATTGACATAGACGACTTTTTCTTATCGATTCATTTGAACAAACAATTCAAATAAGAAAAAAAGGATCAATCCATTGTAAAAGTATTTTCGATAAGGTTTTATCCATAGAGGATATCCAAAATAAGATTAAGATCTATCTATAGAGCCAAATAATATTAAAAAAATATTTCAAATGTTCTTCATCTTTGTAAAACTTTATCTCGTTCAATGTCTTTTAGTGATAATTATTTTTGCTAAAAGAATCTCATTGATCAATCTTTACGGCAAAAATTCTTCTCATTATCTTTAGCAAATAATTTTATTGGAATAAACGAAAACATCATGAGCAATTTTTCTTTTGATTATATTTAATTGACGAAATATTCAATAATGAAAAAATCTTCAATTAAGAGACCCTCCTCAGAAACAAACTTTTCCATTTCTCCATAGAATTCAACCAAAGTTTCAGAGAATGTTAGTCTTGGCTAGAGTAAATCATGGTTACAATATCTTCTTAAATCTACGAGTTATCCACGAGTTGTACTCAATTTATTGTTCAAAAATATCCTGTGCGTGGGCAAGCTTTTCATAATCAGAACACGAGCTAACAAGCCGAGACAGTTTTTAAATTGCAGAGTACTCTTGGCGCTAGATCCTTAAAGAGCTCGGGTTTTAGAATTCTCTTTGTTTATTTTATAAAAAATGTTTTCCCAAAAACTTCTCAAATTCATGATCAAAAAAGCAGTTGATAAAAATGAGATGGGTGTGAGTATGGGCATAGTTATGGATGTGAAGAAACAAGAAGAAGCATAAACCCACACCCTCTCGAAATTTACTTTTTAAAGATTTAAAATATTCATTTGCTTCTTCGTACAAAGTCTTTTTGAATTTCGCTTCTGATGTTGGGAATCAAGTCACCGTTTTACTCATGAGAAGATGCAGCCTACGAAAATAGATGTTCTTCTGTTTTACGAGAAATTCGTTCAATTAAATATTTATATATTTTTCCTGTATCGATTGTGAAAACAATAATTAGTAAAAAGAATTCGATATTGCGCATTTGATTGAGTTTAATTCTGTCTGAATTTATTTTTGCCTGTGACATATATTCAAATTTCCAAGAATAATGGGTACAAATAAAAGCGTTTAAAACACAAAAAAAAATTTACAGAACTAAAAGCTGAAGCTTTATAATATACTTAATTCTGAATTTTAAAGTTTCTCGCATATCATATACCATTTTATGATTTTTTGTCCTTATTTCTTGTAATAATAATCTACTCATTTCGATAATATGAATACAAATAAAATATGTAAATTATTGAATTTTGATGAATAAATGAATTATCATCACATACAAGTCGACATTAAAAACCTGAAAAACTTTATTATGATGATATTGCCTTTTTATCTGCTGAATATTATTTCATTTCAATTTTCTTTCATTTATGAATCTGATCATATTAAATTTTTTGATGATACACGTTTGTCTTGAAATCAATAATGAAGAATCTAAGTTTTGTAGTAAACTCCTTTTGATTAAATGTACGAAAACCATTTTGAACTATCTAAATTTTGACTTAATAATATGATTTTTTCTGTTGATAAACGATTTAATTTTTTCGTTGACTGAAAGCGGTTTATCGAATTCTTGAGATTTGACTAAAGCTATCTAATGACAATCAATTTATTCTTAGATTTTTTTATGCTTATAATATGCTGATAGTTGAATGCAACAGTTAATATACCCTCTAATGTCTGGCTATGATGCACAAACATTTATCGAAATTATGTCAACAAAAGGAAAAAAAAGGTGTCGGCTATAAAGCTAACAAAGAAGAGCAAGCACCTCTACATGTTCTTTTTTTAGTAGTGATGTATTAATCTATTCTCTTTTTCTTTTTTTTTTTACAAAGATGCAGTATATCAGATCCCTAGTTTGTCTTTTGGGCTTTGCTGTCGTTGATTTACTATTTATTGGTAAAAGTGAGTCAACTCCGTTGGACGATTATGTTTATGCAACTGATCCAAATTTCGAATAGATCCTAATTAAACCTTTTCAACAACCTGATTATTTTACACGTATTGAGTTTTACATCACAAAAATGGTTCGATAATAGATCGCTCTTTTCTGCTTCTTACTGGTAAATATTTTATTTTAAATTGTGTTGTATAGAAACAGTCACGGTTCATCCTATTTCGTGGCATTATTTGTGTATATCTGTTCCACATAAATTTGCACGACCAAATAGCGCTTTCATGTTTATCGATGGTGCGGGGTGTGACTGTGTGAATGTAGATAAGCGTCTTCTCTCTAACTATACCCACACCCACACCCTTACCCATTGTAACTATGCAAAATATCGTATTACCTAGTTTGTTGTAAAATAATTTAAGTCTTTCTTACAATGGATGTTTCACTTAGAATGGTACATATAGACTGAAATTCATAAGAGCGAATGACCTTAGTGAGAAACGCTTTTGATAAAAGTCTCAGCCCAATATGGCAAATCAGAGAGAACTGCAGGCTTATTTATAGTCCATTTTAGGATCTTCAAAAGAATCTTTATAAATGTATTTTGAAATTAGAGCTGATACATGTGCACAGTTCTTCATCAGACAGGTTTTTGAAGTTTGATTCTACTTATTTTTTTATGATTTATTTTACTACATACACTGTTAAAATAAGAAAAAAAAAAGAATCTTTCGAAAAACAGGATAGTAGTAGGATGAAAATCTCCTAAAATAGTCTATTAAAATTTGGTCATTTGTTTCTAAAAAGTCATAGATATTCTGAGAGAAAAAAATTTGCCAACGCTTTCTGTAAGAAAACTTAACGTCGATTATTGTTTGAAAAAATAAAAAGAATTTTTTTAAGACAAGAGCTTCTTCACAGATTGGAAATATAAATAGAATAGTGTTTGACAACAAATGTCCGAGCCAGAATTTAGAAGGTGTGGGTATAAGCCAGGCATACAGAATCTACCCGTGTGCGCGAACGGTCGTTTGGGGAAATTTTTAAAAATTTGGTAGCATCGGGGAAAATTTTTGAAAACTTAATAGCATCTGAGGAAATTTTTTGATAAGTATTTTCTCGCATGGGGAAAATTTTTCAATGAATCCCAGTTTATTTATGTATACATCGATAAGATCTTTTACTTTTCTTTTGAATAAACTTCTAAAAGACTCATCCGTGTCTCTATCATAGTGTCAATATCGCCTACCTTTGTTTACGATTATCATGCATCTTGCTATTTCTTTCACTCTGTCTCTTCGTGCCTACTCTTGATACAACACGAACTGTTTGTGTTCTCTTATTTTCTTTCTATAATTCTGCCTAATGGAATGCCACTACTTACTGTTTTTGTTTCTCTGTTGCTACATACAGTTGCTATTGTATGTGCATATGCGTACACCAGCACTAAGATGACTAATATATGATCATCAGCAACCGAACTGAGCCTTTGTTTTTGGTTGGAGTTCAGTTCAATTCGAATTTACTTTTGAAAAATTATTTTTGGTTCGGCTCAGTTCAACTTCATTTTTGAAAAGTAGTTCGAGTGTGGTTCTATTCTAGTAGTCCTAGTTCCATCGAATCAGGAGGGTACGATAGGCGGAAATTTGACTCTGAAATGATTAGCGTGTCATTTTGGAGTTGATATTGGTATAAATTAATACTTATTGCAAATTCACTCAATAATTATTTTAGCCGAATGAAAGATAGATAATGACTATTTCATATAAAAAACTGAACAATACCAAGTTTGAAAACTTGTTTCGCCTATTTTAGTTAGTTTAAATTGTTTACGAAAGGTACAAGTAATCAGATTACTTGAACCAAACAATATTAAATAGTAGCATTTTTTTAATGTGTATTTGCAATGTGTTAAATAGTGGTAGTTGTTTTATTTTGAATAAATATCTTCAAAAAGAAAACTCGTTTTTTAATTGAATTTTACAGCTGGGAAAATTTTTTGCAAAAATTTTGCCGTTCGGGGAAATTTTTTATTTTATCGGCAGATTCTGCACGCCTGGTATAAGCTCAATATCTCGATGACGGTGACAGTGCTCTAGATGACAGATTTCATTATTGAAGAAATTAGTCTACATATTTCGTTTATCATGGATCTCGATGCTCACATAGAAACATTACTATATGACTTTGATAATATGCATATTGAGCATGAAGATAAATGGAAGAATCAAACGTTGATAGAACGAGTGAAGTTTTTCTCGCCTTGATTAAGTGATTACATTGTAGTGCTCGATTAAAAATGACATTTTATTTAAATTTCTGAATCAAACTTAATTTTAACGCCAATATATTTTGGCATGACAGTCAATCCTTGTACTTGTCCGCCAGCATTAACTTCAGGACCACCATCAATAAATGTAACATGTTGCATTAGTCTAGCTATAATAACTTTAAGTTCAAATCGTGCCAAATCTTGCCCAATACATTGTCGATGACCACTGCCAAACGGAAGAAATGCATAAGGATTATGATTTGTGTCTTCACCTAAAAATCTTTCTGGATAGAACAATTCTGGATCGATCGACCAATATCGTGGATCTTTTGAAAGAATGCATACTGGAATAAGTATTTGATCACCTTTGTACAATTGAATACCACTGTTTGGTAAACGATCATCCATAGTTAATGTTCGAGCTGTTGCATCGATAGTTGGAGAAAAACGTAAGATTTCTTTGATAACACAATCTAAATAGATAAGTGAATCAAGACGATCTAATATCAAATCATGATGAACATTTTCTTTCATCAGTTCTGCCTTAATCTTCTGTTGTACTTCCGGATGTTTACTGAGAAGATGAATCGACCATGCCAAGACGGTAGATGTTGTTTCAAAACTAGCAGCAAGAAACATAAGCATTTCTCCTAATATTTCACGTCGTATTAGACCTGTAAATAAAAACACAAACATTGAAACTCTTTAACTCTAATATACACAATCAAAATTGCGAGAAATCACTCTGATAGTTTTTGGTACATTAAATTTGATAAAAGTTTTGTGTTTTTTTTTATCAATTGAACTACTAGATATACGTTCAAAAGATTAGATCAACTTGCAATTACCTTTTTTCTCCTCTTCACTTTTTCTTTCTTCTGCTTGTTCATCTGTTTGTAATGAAGCAACCAATGAAGCAATCAATGATGTCTTCTTTCGTTGGGCTCTCGATTCTAGAGTTTCATTGAATTCTTGTTCTATCATTCTATATAAATATCGTTTGATTGTCGTTTGAATTCGTCGATATTTCGGACTTAATTTCATATAGGCTCTGAGAAGAAAATTTGGTAAATAGGATCCTATTTCCACCATGCCGATATAGGTTTTCAATGCTTGTACAAGCTCATTATTTTTTATTCCACTAAGTGTATCGAAATCATAGTCAAAACCAATGAATCCAAAAATTTCTAGTATAAGATTTTGACATTGTTGTAAAATATCACAATGAATGTGATCCGAAGAACTTGAACGCCAATTATTCAAAATTTCATCTGTATAATTAATAATCAAATCGAAATTTGAAAGAATTTTTCCATGACGAAATAAGGGCATTACGATCGAAGCATGTCGCTTGAATTTAGCACCTTTAATTCAATAAAAAAAAATTTTTGTATTCTTCGAATTAATCAAATAAATAGATCTGACCTTTCAGAGTAATGAGACCATCTGGTATAAGGGCGCCCAAAAGTTCCACTGACCAATCACTTTGATCATAAATATGTCGATGAGTAAAAATATACTTCACATCATCTATATTACCGACGATTATTCCATGTAAAAATCCGAGTTTAATCTCATAAATATCACCAAGTTTATTTTTGAATGATGCATACACTTGTGGAAGAGAAGCTCCACGTAATAGTCCCGATTGAAGTAAATTTCCAAATAAGAAATGTCCTGGTAAACTTGGAATTGAACGACGAGAAGTAAAATATTTATGTTTTACATATAATACGAATAGACTGATAAAAATAAGCGTTAGTATAATAAACATCGCCAATATGTAATAGAGTATTAACGTTGACGCATTTATAAGAAACCGTACTCATATACACACGTGTTCGTTTATGTTTTCTTTTCTTTTCTTTTTCCTAACATACTAACAGAACAGCAAAGCCCATATTATTAACGTACATAGACGATATATTATCATATAATTTGGAGATCGAAAGAGAATTACTATTTGATAATCTCGTTCTTCTATTACTCATCGATTCTATGATGTAGAACATACACCATGATTAACGTTCATTAGGAAAAGTCAAATTCCATTCCTGTATAAATTTTCTTTTCATCATTTTTGTGTTTCATAAAATTCGATTTGTTTGGGTCCAGAACTGATGAAAGATAGATGGTCAACGAGTTATCATCGAAATGAATGTTTTTTTTTTCAATCAGAATTTTGTTAAAAAAATATGTAGTTGATTGACAGTTATAGACACTATACACAAATCTGATGCAAGGTTAAGTCACACTAGAATGCAACAGAGAACATTTTATATTCATCAGGTTGGTAGAACCAAAAATCTCCATCTGACATTGTAGAAATTATTATGTGATTGTAAAATTGATGCAGTGCACATTATGTACTATTTGTTTTATCAACAACTGATCGAAAGGACATTTTGCAATGGCAAGAAAAATAAATTAATGAACTTAGCTGAATATAACTTTTTCTACAATTGATTACATGCAGTAGAAACTAATACGACAAACATTGATGCTTCGCAGTTTCAAATGCCATAGATTGCCAAAATTGGTTTTAAAATCATACACATATTGGAAGGCAACGAGGTTATATGACAGTATTGATGCTAGTTGCGAAAGATGTTTGCGAAATACTAGATTCTTTAAATCTAATAGTCAAACATCCAGGTGAAATAGTTGTGATCTAGATATGGACATTTTATACTACAAGTTATTTTTGGTTCGATTGTTTGGCATTATAATTTGACGAATCCTCTCACATCAGATATCGTCTACTATTGTCTTCGTTCGATCAATAATAGCGATTCGGCGAAAGTTAATTATCAAAACAACGGGTGATGCAAAAGTTCTCGGAAAAATGTCGCTTCATTTTTCGTCCACTACAACATGTTTTATAAAAATAAAAAATATCTATTTAAAACCTATGTTGAAAGCGCTTTCTAACTGTATATTCAAAAAAAATTTCTTGAATGTCTTACCTTTGAGTAAGGACCACGTCCTTAACTGACATTATGATATACTCTGTAAAAAGCAACCCACAATATTCCATTACATTCGGTGTTTAATTCTCTACGAACCAACGTAGATTCTGAACAGGTATTTTTTTTATTTTGCCAAAACATGTTATGGTGTGGCCGATGAGAAATGAAGCGATATTTTCCGGGGAACTTTTGAATCACCCGTTACATGTAATCAATAACATACCTTCGATGTGGATATGGATGTGAGCGTGGGTATCAGTAGATAGTCTATCCACACCCACATTCTCAAGAGTGACTTGATATAGACCACTGTTTAAATTCTAATATTTTCATTGGAATTTTATTTTGACATATGTAGCATAAATATATATGAGACGATGGAACTTTATCAATCATATCAATCTTTCAGCTTTCTATTTACTGTTTTGAGTAAGATAGAATTTTCATTCTCGAATTTTTCTGTTTAGGTCAGCAGCAACAATCTATTTCAATTTTTTATTTTTTTCCAATATCTAAAGTTGGACAGAAAATGAGATTAGAAATTTGAAAAGTAGCATTCATATTATTAGGGTGTGGGTGTGGATCTGGTCTTCACTCATATCTACAGCCACATCCACACACACTCACACTCTAGTTGGTTAGAAAGATGTGATGATTCATCAGAATGAAAAAGGTTTGTTTATCAGTGTAGACAACGAAAAATTCCACTTCGCACACATCCTATGTTTCTATGTGCCGAAGATCGAACAATCCTCCTCGATTCTCTGATATAACAAGTACTTGAAATGTGAAGATAATAAACTTATTTATCTCGATATTCAAGATCTGTTGTCTAAACAGTTACTACCGTATATTAATATCAATGTTTGGAAGCGAATCTCGATAGTAGTTTTGATAAACGATCTATTTTCTTAATCAATTGATTCTTGTAATTATGCATTCGATAAGAAAGCATGGAGCTAAAAAACAAGATCTTTTAATGATATGTCTGTATCTCGAAAAAAGTACACATCATTAACTATAGATTTTTTTTTCTCATAATAACACCAATAAAAATCGATTAGTTTCAACTTCAAATTCCATATTTACTAATATTATTCGATTATTTCTCATACTCGCAATATGTTGTTCTCTTCATCTCATTGATACAACTTGATGACTACTGAATTTTGCTAATGAAACGTAATTCTAATTTACCGTTCTAGAGGATCACATTAATGAGTTCATCTATTAAGCGATGCAAAAGTCTTTGGAAAAATGTCAGACTCTGTTAAACCACATTGCTGACTTTTAAACCAATCATTTTTATTTTGTTGGAAAGAGCACAGCCTAAACTACAAATTTTGAACCGGACATATTTTTCCAGAACATATTTTCTGTTAATTTTTTTATATTAGAAGAGAAATGAAAAACTCATTGAATGATGATTTCTGTAGCACGAAGAGTAGTGGCTCTTTCCAATGGTGTATTGCAAGTTAAATTTACACTGGGTTTTTATAATAAAATACAGCTTTGCCTAAAAAAGTCTGTATAATTGGTTATTCTTACTAGTTGAATGTTTTACAACGACAAAAAAATGTTTTTTGAATTATTTTTTCTGCTAAGCCTCTATAAACTGATGTATTTCAAAATAATAACGCACAAAGAATTCAGTTTATCATACTTTCTGGACATGATGGCTGATGTCCTTGTAAATTGATAATCTTTTCGAAAAACTCTATTTTACAAAAATTTCAATTTTCAAACTTTTCAGTTTAAAGAATGAAGAACGAATCTAAAAAATTTTACGAAAGCTGATATCGATAGAGTGTTTGATGCGCTACATTTTGGTGTAATTTTTTTGTTACAATCTGGTTCATGTAGCTAAAAATAATCGGAAAATACAAATCTTTCAATTTGCAAAAAAGTTGCAAGAACCTTTTTAGAGGTGTTTGGTTTTTGGCTTTTCTTCTTTCTCAGATTTGTTCTGGAAAAATATGTCTAGTACAAAATTTGTAATTCAAACTTTGCTCTTTCCAACAAAAACAAAAATTAATTGATTTAAAAATCAGCAATGTTGTTTAATAGAGTCTGACATTTTTCCACAGATTTTTGCACCGCTTAATATTTGAGTTTTTATTTTTACTGAACTGGTATATAGTAAATCATGGCTTTAACAATAAATCAAAGAGAAAAAGAAATACTACATGAATATTAGTATGATATCCTCAAGATAATAGTAGAATTAGCTAATACTCTAGCTATTGACCAACCCTAAGTAAACTTTCATAGTTCTTTAATCAAGTTTTGTGTATCATTAGATTGAGCCAGAGTTGAAAATTCGGAGTCTGTTAATTGTCTTGCATGAACTGTAAAATCATCAATTTCTCCATACATCTTTGTGTAATTAAAGATCGGAACTCTTGCAAAACATTTCATCTGTTCAAAATTATCAGGCTTGTTTGGTGCAGAATCATTCAAGTATGCGCCACCGATTGTTACAGAAAATCGTGGATTACTAGATATGATCGACCCATAGCGTGGATTCGTGTCTTTATAAATCAGTTTGCCATTTTCATAATATAAATATGTGTCTGGGCTCTTAAACGCCACACCAATATGAACCCAAGTATTGTTTCCTATGAAGGAATTGTTAACATTGATTAATTCGAAGAATTCGGGAAAAAAATATCCCAAAGTCTGATTCTCCGGGTAAACATGTATACTCATGATGCATGTATAGCTGTCTGTTGATAGTCCAGTAATCAATGATGTAAACTGTAAGACAGCTATAGCACTATTAGCTTTGTCCGGTTTTTGTATTACCAAACGAAGCCAGAATGTTAAAGAATATGCATAATCATTTGAGTTCATTAGAGTGAATCCAGTTGATTGGAAATACGAGTCACTATCATTGAAAAGAAGAGTACTCTTATTGTTCGAGTACAATCGATAGACATGTTGACTACGTGCTCGAATATTATTCGGACCCCAACCAACATTGATATCGTCATTATCGAATCTGTAGCGACAAACTACGGTTGCTTCATAGAGAATTACACTGACATTTTTCACTGCATATAAAACAGACAATTGATCAATAAGACCATAGAATGGTAGTGCATTTGTCACGGCATCCAATCCAATATAGGTTGCTTTCATTTTGTTTGGTTGTGACAAGGTTGCAACAGTCAAATTCAAATATTTTTCTCCAATTTGTATCCCATTGAAATAGAAAATAGTCGATCCAGTTTGATGATTAAATGAGAATGCCACATGAATCCAACAAGCTTGACAAGCGTAGTTTTGAAAAGAAACAAATGCTGTTTGAATGATAGTTGCATTATCCCAATTTGAAATCTGAATGTTCAGAGTAGTATCAGTGATGACAAAGCTGATGCATATTGAATTGAAACTATTACAATCGCTTAAAATAGTTTTTGGCATATAGCCAGCAATTAAAAGCCAGGAAGTCACTGTAAAACTTGTGTTGAGTGTTAGATTCAATGAACGAGGAAGTATGATATATTGATTTTGTTTCCTATCCAAATATAATGCCATGCCTTGTCCGGAATAGTCACGTGAATCAGCCTTAGCTCCATTTACAGCAGTACCATTGTACAAACCGGTCAGATCTTCTCGAGCATCACCACAATCAAAGGACCATAAATAATCAACTATTAGGTTTGTTTTATGAGGTAAACATACTAAATAAATGAGCAATTATTATCGAATGATAGAAAATAAGACAAGAGTACACTTTTTGTTTCATTTTTAATTTCTCAACTATGATGAAAAATTTCCAAGAAATTTCGATAAATGAAAG